CCTTTGTTCTTCATTTCAGGGTTCACTCGGTGATAATAATAGCAACCAAAGCAACAGCAAACCCTTACAGAGCTCTGTCCTGCTGTTCCAGGAACGCTGTGTTCACGACAACAGAATGAGTTGGCACCAGTATGAGTTCCACTTTACAGGTAAGGACATTCACTAACCACATGGCTAGTAAATGGCAGAGCTGGGACTTGAACCCAAGCTGTCTGGCCCCAGAGCCCCCTCTCAGCCCCTTCACTGCAGCTCATCACTTGGCATGCCTGACACAGGCCAGCATTTAAGAGCAGTGTGACCTTGGCCAAGGCTGCTTCACTGCTTGGTCTCTTTCCTCATCTGTAGAATGGGGGTGTGGGCAGTGAACTCTGTGAGCTCAGTCATCACCTCCTCCAGCTCTGATATTCCACAGCTTTGAGTTTAGTAAGTATCCGAGCCCATGCATGGCCCACGCATGGGCTGGCGCTTTGCTAGGCCCTGGGTTATGGAGCAAAGAAAGATCAGCCTGCTTCTCCGAGGAGCCTGTGTCCCTCCACGGGAAGCAGCTGAGAGGCCCAGGCTCCCTCACTGGCGGTTGGGGGCTGGGCAGGAATGTCTGATAGGAGAAGATGGAGGCAGAGCCCCTCCGGGAACAGTGGTAGCCACACAGCTCTCAGAAGCGGTAGCGTCTGTCCAGGCTGCTGAGAGGGGAGTCCTCATGAGGCCAGTAGCCCCCCCAACCTAAGCTCTCAGGAGAAAGATCCATCCATCTCTGCAGTGTCATCATACAGCTAGTCAATCCTCATCACTGTGCCTCTGTGCTTCATTGTTCTGGGGCCTCTCTTCCCCCTACACCCTGAAGAATCTTCTCCCTCTCTTCTCTGAGTGTCCCCTCACTTCACCCGTGGTCCCTGCTTCCTGGGAAACCATTTCTGGAGTTGACGCTTTGCCCCCTCACACACCCCCGTTTGATCAGGAGCCTGGGTTGACCTCCTTGTGCTCACTTTCCACCTTCAGATCATTGCTCCTCCTCTCTTGGGAGCACCTGGA